TTTCGGCTATGTTCAAGCCATCCTCAGCATTTTGCAGTTCATAATCCTAACAGGAAGACGATCCAAAATTCAAACCATGGAGTGCAGTAAGTAAAAATATAAATATAAAACTATATAAAATTATCTATAGTTATATAAAAAATTGACATATATTATATATAACGATATGTAATATATAAGACAAGAATTTTGTGTGTAAATTACATTTCAATAATTTCCAAAAACTTTTTGTGATTTCTTTCTAAAAAAATATTATAAGATTGATTAAAATCAAAATATTATTTTATTAAAAAATTGTTGTCATATTATAAACCTTATAATAATAAATCAGTTTTCAATAGCAATATGTTTTGCTATAAGTTACTTTTTTAATAGTATATAATTTTGAACGAGGACTTTCAATTGAGATCAAATCTCCCGGTGTATCCATCAAATCAACGACAAAATTCGGTTTCATACGCTTGGTTGGGTAAATCGTCGATTGATAATCTCGAGGAGAAATTTTTTCTCTCTCATGTCTGTTCTGATATGTGAAGACATTTGACTTGCCTAATAATTCGGTCGTAATCCTTTTTTCATAATCTTCATTATTTCTATCCAAACAAGCATCGAGTAATCTTCCTTCATTTGAGTCTTCTATCTGCAAGATACGCATTGAGTCACAAATAACGTAATATATTTTTAAAAATACCACTTTAACGCAAGTAATATACGTATATTACTTGAGATATAGCTATTTTAATCCACGAGACGCCGTATTCCTCACGTACGACAGCTGCTGGAAGGAATATTTTATTAGTTATCGCCTTAAAAAGCATAGCCCGGTCGAGGTAAGAACCAACACGAAGTTGCCCAAGCGGAATCATGCTCATTTCTAAACATTCTTTAATTTGCTTCAAATAAACTTTAAGTTGCTGGTCGATGCATTTAATTCCCACTTAATCGACACCAAACATCTGACGCGCCACGAATACAGCTAACATCTTTGCACGTGAGAGAACGTATTGGATACTTCGATCTGTATTTCTTTCTGACGCTGTGCTGTGTATTATAAGTTATTTCATATAAGAATTTGTTTGTATATTAAATGGGATATATGAATTACTTTAAATAAGATTTTTAGAAGCTCTACTAACACATCTTTTGGTTCCTTTGTTAAGAGCATACGTTTAAAGAGTTCCACATATTCAGAAAAATATGGATCGCATTGCAATCGACCAAACTTCGATTCGAGCCACGCATTTATGTCTCCTGCAAACAAACACAATTTTTTTAAGTAATATTCTCTTTTATTAACCCTCCTCATTTTTTATATAAAATATAAAATCTTATTACTTTCGAAAGTTATCTCGTTCTATAAAGTGTTCGACGTTGGTAATTGCAAATAATTTACCACATAAATGGGCTTTAAAGGACAAAATTTGATTCGAAAAATATCACCCAACACAGGAGATCTAAACAAAATAGTTATGGAAACATTACAAATGGTAATAAAACGATTTCAGCTAATTTAATTGCACAGAAAGAACGATTCTGCTGAAGTATCTAAAAATTTAGTTAAATACAGATTTAAAAATAATAATATTGAACTATCTAAGTAATTATATTGAACGCTTAAATTGGTTGCTAGAATGTTAAAACTTTTTACAGCATTATCATCATGCTTGAGTATTTTATATAATTTATCTTGATGATCAAATATAATTATTAAGTTGTTACGTTCTAACAGGGGTAACAATGCAAATACCTTCGCGTGTCCAAATTATTGAGTTAAGATGCAGCGGTTTGCGTAATATCCCACCGCTGTCACCAAATTTGTTACAATTATAATACAACGCGAGGTGCAACGAATTTCTAATATTTTTCGCGATTGTAAACTGTTGCTTGAACACCCCACCTATGCCACTAAATTGTTACAATTATCTTGTCATTCCGCCACCGTCGTGGTTATTCAAGAAAATAATATTATGAATTAAATATTCTTGCGTCACGTTTTGGGGTCGCTGCTGAATGCGGAGTGGGGAGCGAGCGAAACGGTCCGGAGCGGCGGCAGGGAGGACACAAGATTGGATGAGTGGCGGAGTGTTTACTAGAGTAGGGGAAGTATGATCAGAATGCGTGCGAGTCTCAGGTCGAGCGGCAAACCATGAGACCGCTAGCGCCGGCGTATTGCATGCTATGAGGGTTCCTTGTTATACAAATCAATTAATATTGACTTAAAGTTTAAATTAATGCTTATTATTTAAGGTTATGAATATGGAGCAATGCAAATTATTTAACTGAATTAAAATGGGTCACTAAATTAGCGTTAGTGGTTTAATAAATGATTAACATTATAACAAATATCGAATCGATTAATTTTCATTTAATTAAAAAATTTATTATGGTACCCAGCAATGCGAGCCGTTTCATCACCTCATACCCTTCGGGAGAAGATGGAGGAGTGGATCGAATGAAAGTAGTATTTGACGCCATATTAAAGTTCGAATTTTTTTAATACGGAACTAGTTGGCACGCTGATTACATTGACGCGGATCCTCGTTTGGCCATTCTATCAAAACAAAAAAGGTACTTCATTGTATTACTAACGCGGTTCGGTTGCTCATATGCGAAAAGAGAATTATTGCAAAAACTGGTAGTAATGGAAGGAAGGATTGAGCAGCTTCCATGAGCGCAGTCAATCCTGAGAAAGGACGGGCTAAGCAGCTCCTACGAGCGCAGTTAGCCTAGGAGGGGACGTTAGACTAAGCAGTTCCTATGAGCGCAGTTAGTCTGAGAAATACGGAAAAGCTGAGCAGCTCCTACGAGCGCAGTCAGCCCGAGTAAGGATAAGGGGGAAGAGTCATCGTAGCTTAAAATGAATTATTCGTACATTCTTCCTTGAAAATGCTATATATTATTATTAGAGATATTCCAGCTGGTCTTTGCCAATTCGGCCGTGATTGACTGAAGTCGATCAGAAAAAATGACGCCGGGCTCGGTTTTTGCCTCGTTTATATTGGGCGTCAATCGGTGGCGCTCGCGAGTCGGGAGAAAGGGGGAGCGCGAATTTCTCAGAATTGGGCGTACGTGACAATTGTGAAAATGGGACTTTTCGCCCCGAAATATTATTCATACCGGACTAAAACTCGGTATGGTTTACGCGAATTTAATTTAAAACTGAGAAATCGAATTATTTCCGCGTTAATTAGTAGAATTTCAAAGTTATTAATAAATCAAGTTTCGGGTCCTTCTCCGCGGTCCGCGCTCCTCTCTCCGTGGTCCGCGTTGCTCCTTCCTTCTCGATTGGTCGGCGCTCGCTAACGCGAATAATTCGCGTTTATTATCAATTTCGAGTAAATTAAAGCGGTCGCGATGGCCAAAAGATAGTAAATAAATAAAAATGCAATGCGAAACTTCAAAATCAATAACATTTTCGGACAGGACGGCTGAAATCCCGCTAATGGCTCCGGCACACCAGCGCGATGTTCGTCGCGCGCGACACGCGATATCCAATAAGTGTACAGCTTTAC